AATTAATGCGTTCCTATGGTCAAAAAAAGTCCAAAGCCAAATTTGGTACAACAAGAGTTTATTAAGTGCTCTTTAAAGTCACACATACTTTAAAGAGCATTTCAAAAATTGAAGGAACAATAAATTAAGTTTCTAAACATGACAGAAAAAACATTTAAAAATCAACAAAGTGTACATTACATTTTCTAAGACTCTGGGGGACCACTCGAAGAAGGTTCCTCTTCCACTCTTTGCTTCTTGCTTAAGAACCTGTCCATGGTCTGCTGCTTCATCCGCCTTTTCAGCACCTCCCTGAAAGGCGGCATGACCGTCGTTTCAAAAGTGTTCGCAAGGTCATGTGCCACGTGCTTGTTAGGGTGGTTCCGCTCTGCAAAAGCCTGCACATCCTTCCACTTCATGCAAATGTCCCTCAGTTCTTTGGAGGACAGCCGTTCCTCAGTTGCTTCCTCCTCTTCCAGCGAGGCCTGCTCCTGCGCAGCCTCTGCCTGCAGTTCGACCAGCTCCTGGGTGGTCAGCTCGTGGTCGTGCTCCTCCACCAGCTCGCAGACGTCCTCCTCTGTGACCTCCAGGCCCATGGTCCTCCCCAAGGCAACAATGTCCTGCACCACTCAGGTGCATCAGAGTCACTTGGTGCCACACAGTCCGGCCACAGGCTGCGCCAAGCGCAATTCAAATTTCTCTGGCTGATCCCTTTCCAGGCCGTGGTGATCATCTTCAAGCAGGTGACGATGTCAAAGTGGTCCTTCCAGAATTCCCGCAGGGTGAGGATGGTGCAATCAGTCACCTCGAAGCATCGCCTGAAAAGCTCCTTGGTGTAGAGTTTTTTGAAATTGGCGATGACCTGCTGATCCATCGGCTGGAGCAGTGGCGTGGTGTTAGGCGGCAGGAACATGATGTTGATGAAGCTGAACTCCTCCAACAAGTCCTCCTCAAGACCTTTAGGATGAGCAGGAGCATTGTTCATCAGAAGCAAAGCCTTCAGCGGCAGGTCGTTGTCCAGCAGGTACTGTTTGACAGCAGGGCCAAAAGCAAGATTGACCCAGTCCACAAACAGCACACGTGTGACCCAAGCCTTACTGTTGGATCACCACATGACACTCAGCTGCTCCTTGTCAACATTGTTTCTTGAAGGCCCGTGGGTTCTCTGAGTGGTACACCAGCAGGGGCTTGATCTTCAGGTCGCCGCTTGCGTTGGCACAGAAGAGCAGGGTCAGACGGTCCTTCATGGGCTTATGGCCAGGCAACTTGGCCTCCTCCTGAGTGATGAAAGTCCTTTTGGGCATCCTCTTCCAAAACAGCCCGGTCTCGTCGCAGTTGAAGTCCTGCTGTGGAACGTAGCCCTCCGTCTTCACAGCCTCCAGGAACTCCAAGGCAAAGTCTTCAGCCGCAGGAACATCAGAACTGGCAGCCTCTCCATGCCTGACCACGCTGTGGATTCCAGATCTCGTCTTGAACCGGTCAAACCAGCCTCTGCTTGCCTTGAAGACTTCTGGCTCGCCTGAGGTTCCTGGCTGTTCCCGGATGAGGTCTGTGTGCAAGGCCTTGGCCTTCTCACAAATCACGGCCTCAGTCACAGTGTCCCCTGCACGCTGCTTCTCTTCTAACCAGATGAGGAGCAACTTCTCGACCTCCTCCAGAACAGCTGGGTGGTTCTTCACGATCCTGGTGACTCCCTTGGCTGCATCAGTCGCAAGGATCTTCTCCCTCATCTTCAGGATAGTGCCGATGGTCGATGGGTTCCTGCCGTACTCCCTGGCGAGGTCTGTCACACGCATTCCACCGTCGTGCTTCCAGATGATCTCCTTCTTCATTTCCAGCGTCACCTTCTCCTTCTTCCTCTCGCCGGCCTCTGCAGCAGCAGTCTTCTTGGGTCCCATGGCAGCACAGCTCCTAGCTTCGTAAACTCAGGAAAAAAATAATCAGTGCTTCACACCCAAAAAATTCAAAAGCACCCAGCCACCCACCACACAGGAATTCAAACCCAGAACCAAGTCCTTGAATTCCAAACACCCAACCCAAAATCCAAAAACCCCCAAAAAAGTTTTAAAAGTTTAACTTACGAAATGGCTGCAAATCACCAAAGTCTTCAAAATCCTCAAATGGGTGCAAAAGAAGTTTTGGAAAAGCGTTAAAAATCACCAAAGTCTTCAAAAACCTCAACTGTTTCCCCAGCCACCCACCCCCCACACAGAAATTGCAAACCCCTCCCCAACTGTTGCAAACCCCTCCCCAACTGCTCCCCCAGCCACCCACCACACAGAAATTAAAAACTCAGAATTTTTTTTTGAAAAACAACAACATGGCCCAATGGTCACAGAAAATCATAAAAATGCAGAAAAAAACCACACAAGCTCCCAGATTCTTGCAAACCCCTCCCCAACTGCTCCCCCAGCCACCCACCACACAGAAATTCAAACTCAGAATTTTTTTTTGGAAAAAAAACAACATGGCCCAATGGTCACAGAAAATCATAAAAATTAAAAAAAAACACACCACACAAGCTCCCAGATTCTTGCAAACCCCTCCCCAACTGTTCCCCCAGCCACCCACCACACAGAAATTCAAACTCAGATTTTTTTTAAAAAAAAACCAGCAGAGTGCCCCAATGGTCACAGAAAATCATAAAAATTCAAAAAAACCCACACAAGCTCCCAGATTCTTGCAAACCCCTCCTCAGCTGTTTCCCCAGCCACCCACCACACAGAAATTCAAACCCAGAATTTTTTTTAAAAAAACAGCAGAATGGCCCAATGGTCACAAAAAATCATAAAAATGCAGGAAAAACCCACACAAGCTCCCAGATTCTTGCAAACCTCTCCCCAACACCAAGTCCTTGAATTCCAAACACCCCAACCCAAAATCCAAAACCCCCCAAAAAAGTTTTAAAAGTTTAACTTACCAAACGGCTGCAAAAGAAGTTTTGGAAAAGCTTCAAAAATCAGCAAAGTCCTCAAAAACCTCAGAAAAGGCTACCACACCGCGTGCAATGTGTTGCTCCTCGAAGTCAAGTCGCAACTGCACCTCTTCAAGCAATGCACCCTGGGTATTAACGGTTTTACGAAAAAGGAAACAAACTTGCAAGACGTTTTCTTCTTGCGAAGCAAGCCCATAGGGAATTTCGTCTTGCGAAGCAGCTCAAAAAACGGAAAACCCTTTCGTCTAGCGAGTTTTCCGTCTTGTGAGGCATTCGTCTTGCGGGGCACCACTGTATTTTTGGGGAGAGCGTTCTGAGGCCTGGCAAATAGAGGAGAGTGTGGGAAGGGTTCAGCTTCCACCAGTCCCATTATGTAGGCGAATCTCTGAATTCAATATGTGAGACTGTCGAACAGCCTTCCACAACCTAGTGCCTTGCAGGTGTTTTGGATGACAACTCCCATCACCCCCAACCAACACGGTTAATGGTTGAGGATCATGGTAGTTGTAGTCTAGAACATCTAGAGGGCAGGGGTTAGGAAAAGCTTATATGGAACATGTTTTGTTTCCATGGTGTGGAAGTTAAGATGGATGTCTTAACTTACAGTTTCATGGCTTTGAGGATATAGGTGTACAAACACCTCAGGTTACAAACACTTAAGGTTACAAACACTTCAGGTTACAGACTCCGCTAACACGGAAGTAGTACCTCGGGTTAAGAACTTTACCTCAGGATGAGAACAGAAATTGCGCAGCGGTGGTGGCACAGTGGCAGCGGGAGGCCCCATTAGTTAAAGTGGTACCTCAGGTTAAGAATGGTTTCAGGTTAAGAACGGACCTCCGAAACGAATTAAGTTTGTAACCAGAGGTACCACTGTACATGAATGAGAGCCTGAACTGTTCTCCTCAATTAAAGATGTGCCTGCTTGTGTTTATAAAATTCTGGTAGTTACCGTTGTAGAGACTTAAAAGATTTTTATGAGGAAAACTCTCTTGCCCTATATGCATCATCCTACTTTAGACCAAGGGACAATGTGCATGTTGTTGTTTTGGCATGGAAAATCTTCAGATGCTTGTGAAAAATGGCTTGAAGTAGCCTTAAAAATGTATTATTTTCCATTGTTGGTTGACCTTGTCTAAACTGATTAAATTGGACATTATTAGTCTCCTCTTCCTGGCTTCCTTGCCTCCTTTCTTTATAGACGGATGCATAATTGCCTTGTCAATTTATTTGTTTGCAGACAGATGGTTGGCACTCTTCAATTGCTGTTCTTCGCTTTCAGTTCTTTAATCACACTCACGCTGCAATCCTATGAGTGGTTTAACAGTCAATCCCTCTTCCCAGGGTATGCTGGGAACTTTAGCTCTGTGAGGGGAATAGGCATCTCCTAGCAACTCTCAGCACCCTTAATAAACCACAGTTCCCAGGATTCTTTGGGGGAAGACATAAGTGTTTTAAGTGGTATGCTAAGTTTATAGCGCAAATGGGACCTAGAATGCACTCCTGATCCTTCCTTTGTAGTTGTGCCTTTAAATCTGAATCACCTGACATGATATGACATCAGGTCATTGACAGGAGAGTGGTCCCACCCACCTGTCAAAGTGGCCTGTGGTAGATGTGGCCAAGTTGGTCCCTCTCTTGTACAGTCTTGATATTCTTCCTGGGAGGCAGGGGTGCAGCCTCTGAGTGGCCCTCAGTCCCCTGGCCAATGGCAGAGGCCAGAGTGTTCTTCCCATTCTTATATTCAGCCTTAAAAATGGACTGTAAAATGTTTCTTTATGACATTACCCACCGTTCTGTGTACACTGCATTCCAAATTGCTATTCTACTGTTGTAAGGTAGCAATTGATTTTTAGTTTGCTTCCATCTTTCTACTGCAAGGCAGTGTATAGTTTAAGAACCATATAATCCAAATGGTTCTGCCTTAATTTTTTTAAATAAAAAACAAAACAAATATAAAACTATATGGGATAACTTACTTTCCCCTAAAAAACATAATATTTGCATTTTTTTAAAAATGCACTTTATTCCACGTGACTAATTTATTCTATTTTGTATATAAGAAGCATTCTTGCCTCTTTTTCTAGCAGGACTGGATAGCTCAGTTGGTTAGAGTGTGGTGCTGAGAATGCCAAGGTTGAAGGTTCGGACAGCTGCATATTCCTGCATTGCAGGAAGTTAGACTAGATGTGGTCCCTGCCAACTCTGCAATACTATGACCTGTGGCCCTAAGATTTTGTCAGACCACAACCCCCATAATCCCTGGCTCTTGACAATGCTGGGTGGGGCTGCTGGGAACTGTAGTCCAGTAACATTTGCAGGGTCACAGGTTCCATACTCTCGCCTTAACCCTGATATAGCAGGTGGATCTGACAAATTACATTTACCCCATGCTGAGGAACATGTCACACTTGCTTATTTTCTGATTTTGCAGGAAAATCCTTTTACATGCAATGCTGGTTATCAGCATATAAGGTGAGCATTATAGAGTAAGTGCTTTTTCAGCCTTATCTTCAGCAATGCATTGAGGAAAAAAGTATAATGTAACCTTTATGGAAGATTATACTTCACTGAAGCCATTCACTGTCATTTTAATTGGCTCCCATCTTGCTATATGAAATGGTTCATTCTGAATTTCTTGCAAAAGGTCTGTGATTTTCTAAAGATTAATGTAACCATATATGTGTGTGTGGTTTTTCCTCAACTATTATAGATAAAACATTTATATTTAATATCAAGCCATTTCAAAAGGAGCAATTTTGATGTTCGTGTTATAATCAGGCAGTAAATTAACAAGTGTGTTTGATAATGATTAATCTCCTGTACAAATGTTTTGAGGAGATGCCAATTATAAGTAGTTGTTCTGTCCCTAGAGAGTGCTTTTCAGATCTTGGTGTTAAAATTTGCTACAATGGATCCACGATCAGATCAACTGGAGTAGAATGAAAACATCAAATTATAGCTCAAATAATAATCTGAGAGATCTTTTATTTTATCTCTGTTTGCAAGTTAAAGATCTATGCTGCCACATAACAGTACCTTCTGATTCATCTAACCGATCACAAAACTAGTAATCATTTAATTTAGATCAGAAAAAACCCCAGAGTCAGGGATGGCATTATCACTGTTGGACAATGTGAAGCTTTCTAAATTATGAAGAAGCTGAAAACTCTGTATACCATTAATGACTGTGTCCTAAAATGTGTGTAAACCCTTGATGATTGTTCCTTGGTTTTCAACAGGTAAATAGATGGTTTGGTGATACACTGAAGCCACAGAGTTGGTGAGAATTGTACATTGTCCCTTGCTACAGCTTATAGCCCAAACTGCAGGAGGCAGTGGAAGACAGGAGTGCTTGGCGTGCTCTGGTCCATGGGGGTCACAAAGAGTTGGTCACAACTAAACTACTAAACAACAGCAGCTTATAGCAAGGGGTGGGGGTGGGGAGCTGGTTGACTTCTTTGTTGCCAACCCTCTGAGTGCTACATGTGGGCAGGGCCAAAGATGGCCCTACTCTCTCATACATGCTCAGATGTACACCATACACACCTGCAGATAGGCACACAGCTTCCTTTCCTCACAGAAGGAGTTATTCTCATCCTCATTTCAGCAATGAGATGGGGTTGGTGTGTGAGGCTGGGGAAGTTTAGACCTCTCGGCCCATTCCATCACTTTGTTGAACAATGAGAATAGGTCCCTCCTCACTCTTCAACTTAGGCATCTGATTTCACCACCATGGTTCACTTTTCCTTTAGTGTCACTGTCACATTATTACTGTTCTCATCCATGCATTTGCTGAACTGGTGTGAGAAGATGGGAATATGACTGGTGGCTCTGCCCTTGACCTCTGTAACTTGCCAGCTCTAGGCCCAACATCATGGGTGTAGCCAGGATTTTTGTTAGGAGGGGCAGGCCTTTTGTGTGTGGGAGGGAAGAACCTTAGTTTGCTATGTGTTTTTATTGATTTAGGGGAGCAGCTACCCCTCCCTGCCCCACCTTGGCTACGCCCATGCCCAACATCCACCTGACACTCTGATCATGCTCACACCTTGGGCCAATCGCTTGGAAACTGGGTAGGAAACCCAGGTCACTTGTGCATTCTCTCCTTGGCAAATGCATGGATTGCAGCATAAGTGCTACTGTTGCCACTAGTGTGTCTGTATAACAGTTTGTAGAGCTTGTAGCCACTGCCCCTTGGTTCCTAGACTGTTGCTGCTAATGATGCCAACAGGACTGCCTTGGAATACTTGGGAGAAATTTGGTTCAGTTCATATTTTAATTTAATGTGAGCCTACCCAATCCACACTTTCCTGAACAATCTATGCACCGGCACTTCATCATCCTTCAAAATTTGTACTTCTTCAAATGTTGTGATGCATTTCTCCAACTAGAAAATGTGCCCCCAAAACACATATATTAGGAGACAGCAGGGATAAGAATGCATGCATTCATGAAAATAACAGACAATGTTCAGGACAGCTGCTTGCAAAATGTGCATGTTTGCAAAACTGCATACAAAAATGTGTATATTAGGAGAAATGGACACTAAAATGCAGAGACATTTTCATGAGGAAGTGTGTATTTTTTTTTAATAAAAACAACAACAGCAACAACAGTCAATTGAACTGTAAATGTGGTGAACAGAAGACTGGAAAAAATGAGAAACCCAAGATCAACAGGTTTGACCAACCCTGCTACTTAAGCTTTTCTTTCACTGATGATTTCCAACCTCCTGAATGAGAAGAGTTGTGAAGGTCTGCATCTGTCTGTGGCTCTCAGCCTTCCTAATAAATAAAATTACCGCACACTGCCAAGAATCATTGAGGAAACAAGGCACCACTGCCATTTTAAGGATAGCTGATGTTTTTTTTTTAAAAAAGCATTAGGGTGCATTTTGTGGAATGAATCGGTTTAATCACAGGTTTCCACTGAAGTCAGAGCACCTGAACCTCCTTGAAAGCAAAGGATTGATTGTTTTGTGATACATGAAGTTCTCTTATTGACTGGCAGCCTGTCTCTTCTCGGAGACAGAGCTGGCATTTAATATCTCTGCAGCTCTGGGACCTGAGACTGGCCCTGTTTAAGCCAGACAAAGCAACAGCTTTCGCTGCCAATGTTATCAACACAAAGAAGAGCTGGTGTGTGTGTGTGTGTATGAGAGAAGTTGCTTTCATTATCAAGAAGCCAAGGTCTTCTACAAACTAACTGGGTCAAGCCTTTGGGTCAAGCTCTTCTAAGTTGCCCCAGTTCATTATGCAGAAAACAAACAATACCTTCCTTGATGACCCTGTTCTTTTGTTCTGAAGCCATTTCTGGTGCAAACCCAGAAGAAACCTGTTACCTTTTAATTGCAGGAGGAAGGAATTTGGATTGTTGGTAGAATGCACACGCAGGTCTCAGATTCAGTATTTTTTTAATCACCAGTTAAACAGAACTTCGGTAACTTGGTTAGCAAAGGCCTTCTCCTAGGCCTTTGAGGGACCACTCCTGCATACCCCTCCAACATTGCTCCAATGAAAATAGGGACATCCTATTCCATGGCACTGTGGTCTAAACCACAGAGCCAAAGGCTTGCCAATCAGAAGGTTGGCGGTTCGAATCCCCTCGACAGTGTGAGCTCCCATTGCTTGGTCCCAGCTTCTGCCAACTTAGCAGTTTGAAAGGATGTCAAAGTGCAAATAGATAAATAGGTACCACTCTAGCGGGAAGGTAAACGGCATTTCCGTGCACTGCTCTGGTTCGCCAGAAGCGGCTTAGTCATGACCTGACCCGGAGGCTGTCTGCGGACAAACGCCGGCTCCCTCGGCCAGTAAAGCGAGATGAGCGCCACAACTCCAAAGTCGTCCGCGACTGGCCTTAATGGTCAGGGGTCCCTTTATCTATTCCATACCCTCCAACATTTCTTCAATGAATATAGGGACGTCCTAAGGAAAAGCAGGACATTCCGGGATCAAATCAGAAACTGGGATGGCTTCTGTAAATCTGGGTCTGTCCCTGGAAAAGAGGGACACTTGGAGGGTCTGCTCCTTGTCAAGACACAGAATACTTGGTTACACGGACCAATGATTGTTTGACTCATTGAGCGGAAACATAATCTTCTTATAAATTCACCAATAGTGCTTTGTTTATAGGGGAAAGGCAGGGTTGGGCTTAATGAAAGTCAAAACCCCCGCCTTCTGATTCCCCTGAATTTTAGTCAAATCATACTGCTCATGTGTAGCTTTCTACACAGGGGAGCATCACGCAATAAAAGGGTGGATGAAACCAAAGTGAATATAATAGTTATTTAGATATGACACTACTTTTAAAAACAGTGGGCTACTGTTACAGATGCTCAGTGTGCATGATATTTCTGGATTAGGGATGTGTTTAACCTTAGCACTGTTGTGATGGATGGACTTACCGTGTCTCAGGATTTTTCCTACAAGAGAAAAAATATTACATTATCCCAATATAGTGTGGGAGGCTGTTTGTGTAACCATCTGAGACATCCAAAGTCTTCCAGACATCTAAGAGCCCATGCAGATCAATACACTCAGTTTACAGTTTTGAGCTGAGGGAACCTGGTGCACATATCTATGTTTCAGTTTCTGTGTTTTAAAACTCTCTCTTTTCTTTGTTAGCAATGCACAGACACATTTCTAACTCAGTGACTGCCAAATGGTTTATCAAAAGCGACCAACAATCAAGAGAGGATGAAAGACGCCCTGTGAAGCCTTCCTTGGAGACAGGTCATCACTTTGTGGTAGGCCATCTGCTTTGAATGCAGAAGGTCCTAGATTAAATCCCTGGTATCTGTGGCGAGGGCTGGGAATGTTTCCCAAGAAGCTGTTAGGTTTTCCCAGTAGTGATGTATGGAAGTGAGAGCTGGACCATAAAGAAGGCTGATCGCCGAAGAATTGATGCTTTTGAATTATGATGCTGGAGGAGACTCTTGAGAGTCCCATGGACTGCAAGAAGATCAAACCTATCCATTCTTAAGGAAATCAGCCCTGAGTGCTCACTGGAAGGACAGATCCTGAAGCTGAGGCTCCAATATTTTGGCCACCACATGAGAAGAGAAGACTCCCTGGAAAAGACCCTGATGTTGGGAAAGATGGAGGGCACAAGGAGAAGGGGACGACAGAGGATGAGATGGTTGGATAGTGTTCTTGAAGCTACCAGCATG